ACTGAATTTCCCGAATTGTCCACGGCAAAACAACGATCACGTTTGGAAAGCACATAGAGAACGGCATCGGCTCGCCTATTTGTAATTACAGGCGCGCGATCTGCATACAATGCCGGCGGTGTGTCGCTCGAGTTGGCAACGAAGTTCCACGGATGACCTTCCTCTTCTTCCTTCTCCTCCGTGTTCGCCTTTTTCTTCTGGCGAGCCGCTCGTTCCGGCAATCTACGCTCGCCTCAAAATTCCGCGGCCCCGACCCGGCCTCTCTGCTGGTGCATTCCCTGCCGTCCGGTGCTCTCGTCGCATCGGCGTCGAACTTGACGAACGATCAAAGCGCGCCTGGCCTCGAGTTCCCGGGCAGAAAATTTTCAAAAGTTATAAAGTCGAGGAGGGTCCGCGATCCCCCTTCCGCCTTATCCGCTTCTTTCCTGTTTCTTTCGAAACATCGTCGAGAATCTCCTTTGTTCTCGGGAACGTGTAACTTTGTCTGATCGCGCGCGGAATCTTCGATTCCGCCCCGAAAGTTTCCCGATTCCCGGTACTGTTCCCGACAGCTCTTCGCCTTCGAGGGACGAACTGTTAACAAATAAAATAGTTTCCCTCATTTTCTTCACCGTTCGAGCCTGTTTGTCCCCCGTTTGTTCGGAAACGAAGGGGAAGGGTCAAAGTTTCCACTTAATGCGGATCATTGTTCCGTTTATTGTCACTCGGTTGGAAATTTTTGCTCGTTCAGGAGTCTTTGGCTCCGAAGGGTTTTTTCACTGTTTCTACTGTGCTCAAACTCAAATAAACGGCAGGCAAACTGTTCTGAGCAGGTAGATGACATCCAAATTTACTTGGAATTCCAGGCTAGAAAAGACGAGACGCTCTCTGCCCTTCTTTCCGCAAGCCTAAATGCCTGACCGAATATAGAGACGGCAGCCTCTCTCCGTCCCATCCCTTCGCACAGAATCCTATTTAAGATCCAATTTACGACATTGGTTTTAGGGTCGGCCATCCCCGAGGACGAACTTCCCGACGGGTAAGGATCTTTTCACGTGTGATGTTTCCAGCCTTGTTCGGCAGAACTCGAACAGTTCTCCCGAACCTGGTCCAATAATAAAATTCGAATCACTCCGTGGAGCACGTGGAGTTTGTACGAGTGAAGCTCGTGCGAAACGAATATTTCGCTGTAAATAATACGCGCCATTTGTACGTACTCGTCATTGACCTCGAAAATCCAACTCGGATATTCCATAAAATTTATACGCGATTCATACACGGTGGGTGGGAGAGAAGGTGGGTGTGCGTCTCGTTGGACAAAAGTTTAAAGGGGATGCACCGTACACCGTGGAAACGCACTCGAAGCTTTTTCGAACGACGTCGTGGTGCAGCCGGTTGCGGTACTCGAGTTTCGAGGGGAATTTAATTATCCCGCGCTTTTGATGCTATTATTTTGCACGATATTACGACGTAATTATCCCGCTCGTCTCAATGGCCAGGGATTAAAATATCACGGACTTTTTGTGTTTCTTCCCCCGCCCCTCACCCCGTTCATCGTTTTTAGTCTCTCTCTCTTTCATCCCTTCGTGTTTCTCTGCCACGTGTTCCCCGGCTCGAACGATCTCGTGGTATTACGATTTTAATTCCACCGAGATTTTATCGTTACTCTCGCGTTCAATGTCCTTGAACGTTGGAACCACGTTCGTCGTAATCCGTCGTCGAGCGCGCAGGATGATCGGCCACGCCGACATTTTTCCATCAACCCCTCCCGATCCCCCGTTTTGTTTCGGATTACCCACGCTGTTGCGTCCGATTCCAACGGATTCGTTTGCCATCGATCTCTTCGTTTTTCTTTCCCGGAAGCGTGAAATTGTTGTCGAATTCAAGTGAGGGAAACGTCGGCGCGCAGTAACACCGCACGATTTGTCTTCGAATCGACCAAGAGACAAAAGAAAGGAGACACGAGACGGAGAGAAAGGTCAGCCGAAGTCGAAAGAAATTCCTCGAACGAACGGGAAGGTACAGGCGGAGAGGAGCGTTGCATTCAACACACTGCCTACGATTTTTCTACAAAGATAAAAACCCATCGATATCAATCTCGTGGTTAGGCACACCTGAATTCTGTTCCACGCAAACGGCTACCTAGAGACCCTCTCTCCGTCCTCGATGCTCCTTTCACCTTTCCCTTCACCGTCCACCAGGGGCATTTGTCATTCCGTTTGGTCCCTCTGTGTGTGAGACTTCCTTTTACCTGGTTGTACCTTGTCGGACCTCCGAAAAAGTGCTCTGTCTCGCCTCTCCGTCGCATTCCTTCCCGTGGCGTGAAATCCTCTGCTCGGAATCCGCGTGCCAGACTTTTATCCGGTGGAAATCGTGGCCAGGCACGCTCTCGTCTTCTCCCTCATTCGTGGCAGTTCTCGGTCCCTCTACGTTTTGAGCAGAGAACGGGAGAGAAATTCACCTCGACTTTATAACGTATGTTGCATAGTAATTCCTGAAAACGAGCGTAACGATCTGCGTCCTGACGGAGGAGGAACGCACCG